TATTTCCACTATTAACATGCCCCATACTTTTTTTTACTTTTTTCCCTCTGCTTTTTAAAAAATAATTTTTAATCTTGTAAGAAACAGCCAAATTGTCTCCATAGCAATGAACATTCCGGTTGCTATCCATCCCTGCCAGTACTTATGTTCTGGATTTTGGTTATTCTAATTGAAGTATAGTGTTATTTTTGACACTTTTCTTTGCAATTCCTTCATGGTACATGATGTGGAACATCTTTTTATATGTGCACATGCCGTCTGTGTATCTTTGGAAAGGTTTTTGTTAAGATCTATGGCATTTTTTTTTTTCATTTGAGTTGTTTGTTTTCCTCTTACTGAGTTTTAAGAGGAAACTTAATGTGAGGGGTAGCAGTCTGAATGAAGAGTGCCTTCTGTAAATATTTTCTTTTTATCTGTAGCTTGTCTTTCACTATGTTAAAAGTCTTTTGAAAAGCAGGAGCTTTTCATTTCTGTGAAGGCCAGTTTACCAATCCCTGCATGGATCATTCCTATAGTCTGGTACCTAGAAAGTTATTATCAAACCCACCTAGATTTTCTCCTACATTATTTTCTAGAATTGCTATAGTTTTGTATTTTACACTTTGGTCTATAATCCATTTTAAGTCTTGTTTTGTTTTGTTTTGGGGGGCTTTTTATTCTTTTAAGTTACTTTTGTGACAAATGTATGTCTGTGTCTAGAATCATTTTTCACATCAATGCCCAGCTGTTCCAGCATCATTTGTTGATGAGGATGTTTTTCACCTTTTGTGTTACATGTCCTTTGTCCTCCTGATGAAAACATTATTCAAATGGCTAAGACTTATTTATTCATGGATCAATACATACACAAACTCACAGCTCCGAAAATTCTGTTCTCTTTCATCAATGTGATTGGGTAAGGCCTAAGACCATTAAACTTCAATAGCAGAAAAAGCAAATTATTTAATATGCCTTCATATCTACAAGAGTCATTCGTGTGTTATAGTCTATAAGAACGGTAAGTTTAAAGTTAGTGAGAAAATAGTTAGAGCTATAGAGGTCATTTATCTCCTTAGTCCCTTTCCAGTTTTATCACATTCTACCCACCTTCTTCTTCATGCTTCTGGAGAATCAATGAAGCTGACTCCTCTTCTTGTTCACTCTTATTACACAGAGTAGCTAATGGACAAACTTTATTGCTCTATAAAAGTGATCCTGTTTGGGATATACTAATATAGTTCAACTTCTTCACTTAAAGGAAACCTGAAATTCAAGAAGAGTGTGTCCTGCCACAAAAGCATCAGCAAAGTTATCTAGCCCTTAGACACCATTTTGTTAAGGAAAGTCTCTCATTTGTTAAGTAAATCCTCCCTTTGATATCAACTAGGTACCTACCATACTTATACAGAAAGGGGACACATTCAAATAATCTATCACAGCAAAAATCATTTCTTATTTTCTTTCTCTTTTGGGGTGTATGGTTTTCTGTTTCTATTTGTTTTGTAATTCAATGGTTAGAAGAAGCCCTTGGCTATGAGCTCCACAATGAAAGCCGCTATCTGATTATTCATGGTAGCCAGCACCTGGTAAAGTATTGCATTACAAAAGGACAAGAGAGGAAGGAAACTAAGTAACCCGGGAAGTAAAGGAGGAGGGGGAGCGGCTCTGTGTTACAAGGTCTTTGCCAGGTGGGTTTGTGTCAGATCTGTACCTGAACAGGAGCTTGACCTGAGCGTCTTCAGGTTGGGGTGGGGGAGTTGGGACTCACAGGACCCTTCATTGCTCTACTTTGTTCAGGTATCATGTCTAATAGATCAGGTATTGCGCAGTATGTCACCTGTACTATGTCACCAGCAAGACAAAACATGTCCTTAGACCTGGTCTACTGGCCAGCCTGAGTCTGCACTGGCATGAGCTTTAGAACCTTCAGGAATGTGCCCAGGAAAAACGCATTAGCTCAGATTCCTGGCATTAATGGGCAGGGAGAACAGGTAGATCTCCTCCAGGGACTTGATCTTCATGTCTTTAACCTGTCAGCCCAACTTGATGATGGGGATCCATTCCTTGTCTTTGACTTTACCTTCACAAGCCCAATGGCCTCAACCATGGCCATGGCCTCAACAACTGTGGCTCCTAAAACTGCTGCTGAATCCTCCTTGGAAGCAGCAGTGGCCTCATAATGTCCTCCGGGCCCTCCCACTGCATCGGCATCATCCACCATTTGATGTTTACAAGGAAGAAGAAAGAAGAAGAATTAATGTGCTATAAAATGGAGTCACAGTGAATCCCCATTACATAAGTGGTGAGAAATGACATGGGGAGAGGAAGTAAAATATGTATCTGTACATACACCACAAGGTAGTATTCCAGAGATGATCTTTGTGAACATAAAAGTTTATGCTGTCTTTGATTGATGAGATTTCAAAGCACACTAACAGTATTTAGGGATCTCGAAGCGTCTGCCCTGAATTGACATGTCCTCTGACTGTCTTACTGCTCCACATGGAGTCTCCTCTCCTAGTTAAACTAGTGTCTCCACAGTTCCCTTTGTGGACTGTATCCAGCAACAGTCCTTGCCTCTTGTCACCTCCCTTCTTTAGCCTGGGGAAAGACATCTCCCAACTCCACTGTGGAGGAGCTGAGTGGAGAGATGTGGCCCGAGTTCCTCTTCCATAAGCTTTCTGACTTTATTCCTGGTAGAAATAATGTCATGATCTCTTTTAACGATGGTACTCTAAGGCAGGTTTTCAAACTCAGCACTGCTGATGTGTTAGGCTGGACAGTTCTTTGTTCTCAATGGCTGTCTTGTGCTTTGAGTTGGAGTGTGAGGTAGCATCCCTGGACTCTGCCTGCATCTACTGTCACAGAATTCTCCAGGCCAATGGTTCTCAACCTGTGGGTCTCAACCTCTTTGGAAAACCTCTATCTCCAAAAATATTTACATTAGGATTCATAACAGTAGCAAAATTATGTTTATGAAGTAGCAACAAAAATAATTTTCTGGCTGGGGGTCACCACACCATGAGGGACTGTATTTAGAGTCACAGCATTAGGAAGGCCGAGAACCGCTGCTCCAGGCACTGCAACATGTTCCCTGGGGAGCGAATGGTCAGCTAAGAAATCTTGCCTGTAAGGGCTCCTCAATTCTTCCTGGATTTCTGGAGACAGGGTTTGGGTCTTTAGCCATATGTAGGTGGGTTCACGTGAAACCTCATCTTATAAACGGGACACTGTCAAAGCAACTACAAACTCCGAAGCTGTGCATACTGGCACTAGATTACAGCATCAGGCTCTCCCAACAGTCAGTTAGGGGGCAGGGGATGGACTCACAGGGCCCTATCATATACTGCTGATCTGCTGGCAACTGACAGATTTTAGGAGAGGAGGGGAACGATATCCAGGTGGGTAACCACTGGTGAGCTCACCAGGCTCTGATAGTCAGTTCAAAATTCAGGTTGACATAATCGGCCCTGAAGAAACTCCATGAGGCACTAAACAAAAACAAAACTAGCAAATAGGAAAAGAGATTTATTGGAGGGTGTTGGTTGGAATAGGAGGGAAATAAGAGAAGGTAGGAGAGAACAGGTTCAACAGGCACATGTATGAAATCATGAAAGAACAAAATTTACTAATTAAAAAGAAGAATAAACTAGAGAAAATTTTAGTTAAAAATTCCAGAGATGATAAGGAAATACAGGCAAGGAAAAAAGTAGTTCACAGAAAAACAAAACAAAAATTAAATATGGACTTATAATCAATAATCATATCTCACCCTTTATTTAATTTCTCTGAACAATGTTTTATATTTTTCAATCAGAAAAAGTATTCACTCCCTAATGCTTAAAGCATTTTCTAAGAACAAAACCTTTGTTCTCTACAACTCCAATACCAATTATACCCATAGGGATAGTAACAATAATTCTTACAGTCTAACAAATAGTCCTACCCAAATCTCCCCAACTGAAACTTTCATTGTTTGTGTGGTCGTGTCTTTCCTCAGTACAGGAGCCAATCAAGGTTCATATACTGCATATAATTTCTCTCTAAGCAAAAGTATTCTACCCTTAGGTTTTTTTATGCCAATGAATATTTTTTTTCCTTTTTTGATACAAGGTATGTATGTGGCATAGCCCATGATTACCTCAAACTCATACCCTCCTGCCTCAGCCTTCTAAGGGCCAAAATTAAAGGTGTGTGCCACTATTACTTTACACTGACAGTTTTTAATATCCCGAGTCAGCTGTTTTATGGGATATCCAAGAGTATAACTGAGTATCTTTTGTATTTTCTATGAGACTGAGAACAAGTTAATGGCAAAAGCCGTAGTTTCTTAGTCTGTATGTTTGCAGAAAATAAGTAATTTACATGTAGCAAATATTCAGTTAATGCTAGAATTTTGTTTTGTTTTTTCAGACAGTCTCAATGTTTTGTCAGTGTTAGATTGGTATAAGCTTGCTGTAAAAACAAAAAATTACACAGATAAAGGTATGTGCTCCTTATGTCACAGTAACACTGAACCCAAGAAACCCATCATTAGCAATTTTATATTTGATCTTCTAATTTGCTCTTTGTAAATAATGCTATCTATATGGCAATACTTTGAAATCATGAAAACATCTTCTGCAATAATCTTCCCATTTTAATTTCATTTTATTTTTTGTAGACTTAAGGAAGAAATCTTTCCCCTTTTCTGCTCACTGCTGTATCTGTCCCACTAAGAAAAGTGCTTGGTACACAGCAGACTTTCTATGAGCATGTACTGAATAAATTACCAGTATGAGACTGAACAATTTAAGGCAAAAGCTATAATTTCTTAGTCTTTAAATTTACAGAAAAATCAGGACTTCACATGTGTAGGGGGAAAGGGCCAGCCAAAGAAACACACCCTGACCCTGAAACCAGAGCCAATGGAAGAAATACACTTCGACCCTGAAACCAGAGCCAAGGAAACACACTCCGCCCCTGACCTGAGGTTTTCTGCCTCAGCACAAAAACCAATCAATCCCTGAGCACAACATCCAGCCAATCTCTGAGCTTGCCCATGCTTGGGGATTGAAATCCGACCATTCCTACTCTGAAATTCTTCATCCTGGAAAAACTTCGCCCCTAAAAAGCTCTGTGCCTGTTCAGTTAGGAGCTGCCTTTTTCACCCTGGCAGAGGCAGCAATCTCCTGGATTCCTCCCTCCCATAAATCTCTTGAATGAGTTTTGGGTGAAGACCTTCTTTCCACAGAGTGGAGCAGGACAGAGAAGTACAACGTTCGCCAGAACAGGAGCAAACAGCTATACTTTTGTGGGGGGGGGGGGGTTCCCCCTTAGCGGAGCGGAGAAATAACAACTTTCCCTAAAGCACAGAAGCAACGTTCATCTCTGAGGGGAAATTCCCTCAGCAGAGTGGAGCAGAGCTGAGCTGTAACGGCTCTCTGGGAGAGGAGCAGGATTGGTACATTCCTTTGAGGAAACCATCCCCACAAGAACAGTGCTGTAAGTATAACCTGGCTTCCGACAGTCAGGATACCTTTCTCTTCAGAGCTGTAACACTTACAACATGTAGCAAATATTCAGTTAATGCTAGAATTTTGCTTGGTTTTGTTTTTTGAGACAGGGTCTCTCCATTATGTAGCTACAGCTGTCCTAAAACTCACTATGTAGATTAAACTGGCCTCAAACTCAGAGATCTGTCTTACTCTGTCTCCCAAGTGCTAGAATATTAATTTTTAAAGACCACAGATAAATTGTAACATATAGGCCATACTTGTTTTCCTCACACATGAAATATTAAAAACTACAGCTATTTACCTATTGTGGCCGTTTGAATAAGAATGGCCCCCATAGGCTCAAATGCTTAGTCACCAGTGGGTGGCACTATTTGAGAAAGATTAGGAGGTGTGGCCTTGTGACAGCAGATGTGGCTTTGTTGGAGGAAGTGTGTCACTGGGAGTGTGGGCTTTCCCAAGCCAGACTCAGTCTCACTCTCTCTGCCTTTGCATCAGGATGCAGAACCCTCAGCTACTTCTCCAACACCATGTCTGCTTGTGTACTACCATGCTCTCCACCATGATGGTAATGGACTGACCTCTAACAGGTAAGCAAACCTCCAATTAAACAATTTCATTTACAAGAGCTGCCTTGATCATGGGGTCCCTTCACAGGAATAAAACAGCAACTAGGACACCTATATTAAAGCAATAAATAATGAAGGCTACTTTAATACACATATACTATAGGTATATGTGTATTCTACTTAATACATGTATATACTATTTAATATACTATAATATTTATCAAACAAAAATACAAATTTCAAATTATTATATTATATAAAATTATAATGTAATATAAATATTATTAGCTTTGCTAGCAATGTTGAATGGTATTTTATTGACACAATGCTAATAGAAAATTGATTTTTAAATAGTAAGTTACTTTACCTGCAATGTTTTTAATGTTTCCTTCAATCCTTCAATTTCTTTTTCTTTGATTTCTGAAGCAAGTTTGTATTTTCCCTTTAAGAAAAAAAATCACACTTCAATATTTTATTTTTAGTGTAAATATAAAAGGAGAAAATAGAACTCAAGAACCAAAACGTGTATTTTAAACCTAATATTTCACAGACTTTAAACATACGTTTATATGACAGAGTATACTTCTAATAGCCTTTAAACATCAAAACACTGCAATAACCTTTATATAATTATAATTATCATAAAATAAGATATTCTAACTATGGTAACTCTATAAGAAAACTTCTAAGCCGGGCGTTGGTGG